TTTTTTTTCATAGATTGAACAAGAATCTAATGTAAAAAGTAATACCAATGCGACACCTACCGTTAAAATAGAAAAGGAAACTTATTTGGAATTGTAACATTTTGGTCCGCCATAACAGCATCTTCGTTTTGCTTCTCTGTGATTGGTCAAGTAAAACGAAGATGCTGTCATGGTGGACAAAAAAGCTACATGGATACCAACTAAGTTTCATTTTGCATTTTTACGGTAGGTGTCGCATTGTCATTACTATTTACATTGGATTCTTATTTAATCGAAGAAACATTTTTTGTTGAAATTATTGTAATTTATAAACAAATTAATTTTTTTATAAAAAAAAAATTTTAATAAATTTTTTAATGAAAAATGTTAGAAAAATATTTTATGACATGTTTTTTTTTTCAACGATTCAATAATTATGAATGTGTATGCATTTTAAATGAAGAGCTTATACATTGTCAAGCCAAAAAAGTATTATTGTGAAATGACAGAGTGACATTTACATCAGCGCCGTATATCGAATTAATTTCGCTTGGCATAGGGGGAAATATTTTGACAGATAGTACTCGATCCTTTGATTGAATTAAAGACAATTCAAAGACTCAATTATTTGGATTATTACCACTTTTCGCAGCGTAATGGAGTGGCGTTATTTGTTTATAATCTTTGGCATCAATAGTAGCGTTGTGTTCGATGAGAAGTTCTGCCACAGCAAAACTACCTAAGAAGTTGAACAGACAATCAGAAATTGAAGTGAATTCAAAGACGCGATTATTTGGACTACTACCACTTTGCGCAGCGTAATGGAGTGGCGTTAATCGTTTTCTATTCATCGCATCAACAGTAGCGTTGTATTCGATGAGAAGCTCTGCCACAGCAAAACTACCTAAGAAGTTCAACAGACAATCAGAAATTGAAGAGAATTCAAAGACTCAATCATTTGGATTATTACCACTTTCCGCAGCGTAATGGAGTGGAGTCATTAATGCCCTGGAGGTTTTTGCATTAACATTTGCATTTTGATTGACTAAAATTCTTGCCTCATCAATATTACCTGTTAGATTGATTCACAGCCATGAAACGACAAGGACAAAAAAAGTGTAACGTTTTTTAATGTCAAAATATTGACGTTAGATCGTCATGACATTGGTAATAGTAGTTTGAATTACACTTCTTATGAAGCCATAATAAAGTTCATATTAACCCTCTAACAGAGTATCATGATTTTCTGCTGCTCAGCATATAGCTGAGAGCTGAGAAATGCTGAACTCGTGCGGCTAACAAATACGAAACGGATGCACGATACATATTCCCCTTTCGCTTCGTATGTTGTACCGTTGACGCTATTGCCGGTACAACGGTAACACACTAAATTTGCTGAGCAGCAGCAAATCATGATACTCTGCCCTCTAATGCATCAATTTTTACCAGAATTGGGAACTTTTTTCTAGTTGGATTTGTTGTGAAAACACTAAAAACTAATGGATGGTTCGGAAAAAGTGCAAAAAAACCGAACCCCGCCTAAAGGCATCGAAATTATTTTTGATTGTTCTTTCAAGAAAAATCCGACATTTTTTATAGAAAAATAAAATGTCTTACATCCGTAAGATGAACTTTTCCGCACTATGATCCACAACATGCATTTATTACAAATCTTTTACTCAAAGAATTCAGGAGAAAACTGAATCTGACATTAGTTTTACGATAAAAATAATTTTTGATAGACTTTTCAATGCCTGTATGATATCGTAATCATGTGAAAATTTGCAGATGTTATTTTTTTAAAGGAAATTTCAATGGAATTGAGGGGTACCTTCCATACGTAATTTTCGTTTTTGAGCGGAATGTTATTTTTGTGTGATAAAAATATCCTGTGCAAAGTTTCAGCTCATTACGATATCATACAGGCATGGCTTCCATACATGAATTCAATTTTTTGACATTTTTGTATGAAAAGTGTGTCGAAAGTTTTTTGTATCGCAAAACTTACGTCATATTCGGTTTTCTCGTACCCAAAAACCCCCCAATTCACATTTTTGAGTGTTTAAGTATACATTAAATATCACTTTTGGAAGAAAAATTGAATTTTTCCCATGGATGACCATGGGCATCACACCAGACATGACACTTCACTATGTCATTCAAAGTCGCTCAAAATCTAATGGTTTCTATTACTCGGCACCCCCAATCATCCTGTGAAGTCAGATTTTGAATTACTTTTCTGGTTTGAAAGTTATCATGTTAACAAATTTTTGCGTACAGGGTACAGGATGCAGGGTACAGGGTACCACGCACATACATTCGGATATCAAAAAAACGCTAGATTCGTGTTCCCTGACTCCTAAAACACCAAGAAAACATGTTTTTTGAGGGTGCGGAAAAGTTATACAGATGCAAATTACGTGAGAGATATACGGAACGTTGGAAAAGTTTTTTTTTATGACGTTGGTAGTTATAAAAAACATACAAATACAATTGCAACGATTACAAAAGAGTAAAAAACAATTATGACTCCTACTGCATAGTGGATACATTGTTTTTCTTTCAGCTTATTTCTTTATTAGTTTTAAAATTTCAAAGTGTTGCACACAAACAAAGCAAAATGTCAAAAAACAGCTGTTCGACCGAACCATTCATAACCAATTTCTATGATATTTCGAAAAATGAACTAATTATTTGGGAATTTTTTAATCTGTTTAGAATAAAATAAATTTTTAAACATTTTTGGTACTAACAATATTTTAATAAACATTCACTTATTATTTAATTTTCACAATTTCCATCAATTCACAAAATTTAATTCATAGCACTAGCATGAAGTTGGTTATATGTCAACCTTTATTCATTCGTATAAAAACATATTATGTTCACGCACACATAAATGTTGGGGAGTTTTGACAATTCCTCTTTGATTGATTTGCATAGTTCTGCCTTTAGATGAAGTAGACAAGATTTTTTTCATTCTGATTTCATCAGATTATACGGAAAATTGAGTAATATTTCTAAATTGAAGAAAAAAATTTAATTACTTTTTTCATTTTTCGCGATTTTTCATCATTCAATTGCAACGTTATATGAAATGGTTCATTCACGGAACGCAGAAAATAAAAACGCGGAAACACTAAAATGCAGAAAAATAAATGCAGAAAACCAAAAATGCAGATCAAAAATGCGGACCGTGATGGTTGACCTTAATAGCAGTGTTAAATGTTGTTACACTGACATGGACATGTCAGTCGAGGTCTCATTTTAAATTCCTAAGATTTTTCAGACGAAAATATTTTTGTTCAGTCTATCAAAAAAGAAACCTCTGTCGAGATGAAGAACGAATGACGGAAACAAAACTTGAAACACAACAATTCTGATATCAATTTGGTAAAAACGAATACACATTTATATATTTGGAACGTTGATTACACTTAAAGTAAAATAAATAGTATATTTAATATATATATGAATGTCCGAGAATGAAAGTGAGTCTTCTCCTGAGAACATAGAAATGTGTAACAACTCTTTAAGATTTCATTGAATTGTAGTACCAACGCAAATTTAATTGAAATGAA